TTTTTCCTTTTCAACTTGAGGCCGGCCCCCATTCTTGCTTGTTGCCCTCCAATTGGATTAGGTTTTTGCTTTTTTTTTCCCATTTCCCGGGGGTTAGTTGGTTTTCTTAAAATTGTTTTCCTTTTGTTTCGCTTGTTTGGGAATAAGGTTGAGGTATAGAGGCATAATGATGAACTCTAGCACAGTGAGCAACACAGAATTATTTCATTTTAATTCATTCACTTTAACCACTTTATTTCACATAAACTATTTTACTTTGCTGTCTCACACTGAATTACTATGATTTTGTCAAGTAAGTGTTCATACTTGCTAGTCTGTAAAGAGAAGGTAAGGAATAGCTTTTGCAAGAGTTCTCTTAACATGGAGTAAAGCAGTACAGACTATTCTGGAATCAGCTTCCTGGATTATGCTCAAGAAAAGCAGCACGAGGTTTCTCATTCAGTACTATTTGGATTATGGTACTATAAAAATGAATTAGAAAACCCCCAACAAAACAGAGCTAGCCAAATAATTATATCATGAGTGCAGAAGTCAGCCCTCCCTTCTTTCATTCCTAGCATGCTCTCTAGATTTACTGTAAAATTATAAAAGAACCCCTGAGTTACGTACTTTGTTTTTTTACAACAATATAATAAGGTTAATACTTTTACTATAGAGGTTTAGAAGTTAATTGACATAAAAGATTCCAAAATTCAGAGCTTTACTGGGAATCATAACATATGAACTTGAATTGATATTAATCAGTTGGGGAGTTTCTAATCTATCCCTATTAGAAGTCTTCTGGTATTCTGTCCCATTTTCATTAGCTCTTCACACTGCCATTAGTATGTTTAAAAATTCCAAGTATATCTCTACACATTCTGAAACAGGTCTGCTAGTTTTCCTCTGCTTATGAAGAGATGATAATACAGTACATACGAGACTTCTATCCATCCTAAGGTTTCTCTACTTATATCCCTGGGAATTCTGAGAGCCATCCTTCCACTCTGAAGTGAAGCAACATTGGCTTTAAATGTGACAGACAGAAGTCCACACTGAGTGCATATGTTTATTAATATCACACTCAAGATCTACTGGAAAAAATGCTATCTTGATCCCTAAGAATAAAAAATTTCCTATTTGATTAACAAGTAAAAGCTTACAAAGAGAGTGAATTAGGAAAAGGTGCTGCTACTTCCAAATGTGGCCAAGAAAAAGAAAAAAATCCCACCACCTATCTTTTAGTCTCATTAACAAATGAAGAGAGATTTCTAACAGATTGCCCAAGGAATGAAACATGCTGGAAAGCAAATAGGAGTGTATTTTAAGTGCAAGGCAATCTACAAAGAACAACAAAGTTCTGCATGTATCACTTTCTTGGCACTGAAGTGTTAAAAACCAAATTTTTCCTTTTTGCATGAGAAACTTATGTCTTATCTGTGTTGGAAAATTGTTTAGAGATCTGGTAAGGATACTCAATTCCTCAACTTTCAGTCTTGTTTGACATATCTTTTACCTCCAGTGCAACTTGAGTTTTGACTCCAGTGACTTGAGTTTTGGAAGAAATGGTGATTCTAATGACTGACAATATGGCATCTTCAGTTAGGCTAGCAGGCTGAAAAAAGTCCTTCTTGCAATCTGCAACCTTGTAATTTTCTGTTTCCATTGCTAGGACTACTCAAACTTTATGTGTCAGTACAATTAACAAACGATATGGCACTGCATATTAAAAATGTTACATGAATGCTATTAAATATGTGTTACTGGTATCACAACTGTTCTACTAACTTGGAAGCGCAATGAAAATGTCATAGTATTTTTCTGTCTCTTTCTCTCGAACAATTTGCTGTCACTGCTCTGTAAATGGCTGCTTGCTACTGCTTCTCCTCTGGGAACCACCTGGAGAGGAGATGCCAGGTAGCTGTTTTCCAGCAGGTCTGACAGCCTGTGCCACATACACAGTTTTTTCCACCTTTATGAATTTGAAACGGAATCCTGCTGTATATTCCAATCTCAAGAAGAAACAAATGGGCCCATTTCCATCTTCCAACCATAATAAAACTTCTGCACAAATGAGATGGTAGCCTCATTCTCATCAGCCTCTAATCTGGCCCGTGCTTGAAGCTGTTTAATTGGTTCTACACTTTTAGTGGCTTTTGTGTGGCCAACATAAGGATTCAGAAAGTAGAAGTAGGGCTGAGTCATGAGAGAAGGAATCAGGGCACAGATCACATTCTGGGCTTTTCCACAACCTGACTTGTACCAGTCCAGCCTTCACTGGTGGGGCTCACAAAGGGAATGAGAAGAGCATGGCTTTATTAGTCCAGCAAAATCAAGGCTGCGTGGGGATGAGACTGCTGTCTATAAATACTTTTGGCAGGGGTACACACAGGAGAGCAGGAAAGGCTACTTCAGGACAGTATTTGCACAGCAAGAAAAGATGGACGTGGTACTGGTCACAAGGAAACGTAGGTTTGACATTTTTAAAAGGCTTCCAGCTGTTAGAGAGGTTTTTCCTCGGACAGTCTCCCAGTAGCAGCACTGAAGGCCAAAAAATTTACTGGCAAAGCACAATTAATTTAGGGAAGAAAGGATAAAATGGCTGCTTGCAACACTAGGGAACAGTGTACAGTAGAGGGTGGAGGGAAAATTATACTGCCTTGGCTTACAATGCCAGGTCACCATAATGAGGGTGCTCTTACCCCTCTCTCACCAGCACTGTGGACTTAAAACAAATTATAGTAAAAGACAGTCTTGTCAGTACATTGTAAAATTAAAAGAGTAAAAACAAATGCCTTACTGATGAAAAGGGGCAATAATGGTTATTTTTCTTGGTCAAAGAGGGCAATAGGAACTACTTGAAGAGTTTATTGTTACAAATATTACCAACACCAAGGTAGTCTGTATTCCATTTGATGTTAAAACTGCCAGAATGAATCTGGGTAAAATAACCTTCTACAGATAAGTTCTCTTTTTTATGTCTGCATCTTTCTTCTCGGTGTTCGTTTTGATTACTAGTTGACCAAAGATGTGAACGCTTTGCAAAATTTAAATAGTTAGCTCTAATTTTAGTAAATGTCTTTAATGGTGACTGTGAAAGATCGATGGTGTTCTTTGTCCTGTTCAGGAAAATTGCCAGCTCATGATCAGGCCTTGCTCAGAAAGATCCACATCTGCAACTGCAAAGCAAAGCACTTGAGCTCTCTGGAAATTATTACTTTGGTAAAGGAGCAATGAAGTTTCTGAGAACTTCAGTTGCTAGCTACCTGTCTCAAGGGAAATTCTGAATCATCTCTTGCCTTCTGGAAGAAATAATCACCTCAAAATGGTTACACTCCTGCCTTTCCTTGAGAAACAAACTTCTGGCTATGACCTCATGACTTAGCTATGCACTAGTAATCATATATAGTACCCTACCTTATCATGCACTTGACACCTCCCTTTGCTTTGTCAGCAACGACAGCTTCTCATCAGCTTCTCTACCCCTCCCATCCAGCATGTGGAAAAACTTTCCATTGTGGTAAGTAATGCTGGCAGAGCAGGTGATGAACTGAGATTGTTTTTGTGTATGGAGAGATGCCATTTTTATTCTCCCCTCCTCTAATTTAATTCTGCTTCATTCACTTGCTGCTGGCGGGAGTAATCGAAGGTTGAACATACAAGGTGGACGCTCAAGTGCTTTGCTTCTAGAGTGGGATGTAACCTGCAGGTCAGGTCAAGGCTGACCTTACACTCCCTACAGCTCCCTGAAAGGAAGCTGTAGGTGCGGGTCAGCCTCTTCTCCCAGACAACAGGTGACGGGATGAGAGGAGATCATCTCAAGCTGCTCCACTGGGGGCTTATGTTGGACATGAGGAAGAATTTCTTTACAGACAGGGTCATTAGATTTTGGAATGGAATGCCTGGAGAGGTGGTGGAGTCACCATCTCTGGAGATATTTAGGGAAAGAACGGACATGGCACTTAGCGCCACGGCCTGTAGTTGATATGGTGGTGTTTGGTCATGGACTGGATTCGCTCTCAGAGGTCTTTTCCAGCCTGACTGACTCTGTGATTCTGTGTGACTCTTCGTACAGTTGCCTCTGCTTGGCACTTCCATAATGCAAGTAAGATTGCAGACTGGTGCTTTTCACAAAAAAAGATCTTCGAGAGACCAAGACATAACATTAAAAGGCCTGAATGTTTCTGTGATCTCAAAGTGCTTTGACGAAATCTGAACCCCAAAGCAGCGCCGCGTTTATCTAAAAATCTCTCTGCTCGGGGCTGAAGGGGCACAGCCTTGCTACGGCATCGGATCATAAAGACGCAGCAATACGCCTGGCTTCTATCCGAGCGCAAACACAGTATGTACCCCCGTATTTCTGTAAGCGACCGGTTTATTTAGCAGCACCTAACGACGCGAATCCTAGCAGGATTCCCGTTTCCAACATGGACCCGCAGCGCCAAGCCCTGGAGCCGGCCGGGCCCAGCCCCGCCCGCCGGGGCAGCACTGACCAATCACAGGGCAGCATCCCGCAGGGAGGCGGGGCCGGACCGTGAATGGCAGCTGGCGAGATAAACAAGTCGCCGCACTGTTCGGCGCCCCGCAGCATGGGTGCGTGTGCACTGTCTGCTCCTCTGTTCCTCCCTCCATCTCTCCCTGCCAGCCAGAGGCGCCGCGTCCGGCTGTGCTCGCCGCTCCCGCCTGTGCGCGCAATGTGAAGAGTCAGCAAGTTCCCAGCGGCCGCTGAAACGCTCCGGTGTCTCCGGAGAGGGCAGTGCGCCGACGCCGCCCGGCCGGGGTGGCCCGAGGCATGCCGGGAGTTGTAGTTCTGCCGCTACGGCGTCCTGCCTGCGGCGGCGGGGCCGGCTCCCGCAGCCGCACTACGACTCCCGGCACCTCGCGCGCCGCGCCGCGAGGAGCCCAGTTGAAGCGGGTGGCGGCGGCGGAGCGCGCCCCCTCCCCCCCGCCGAAAAGCCCCAAACCAAAACAAAAACAAACCGGCCCCCCGTCCCCCTCGCCCGCCGCCCCCGCCGAGCCCCGGACATGGCGGCGCCGGGAGGGGGCTCCGCCAGCTGCGGCTGCTGATCCGGCCGCCGCGTCCCCCTGCCCGCCCGTCCCTCCCCGCCCATGGGCGAGACATGGACTACGAGTTCAAGTCGAAGCTGGCGGCCGAGCGCGAGCGGGTGGAGGACCTGTTCGAGTACGAGGGATGCAAGGTGGGCAGAGGCACCTACGGGCACGTCTACAAGGCCCGCCGCAAGGACGGGTAAGGGCCGCGCCGAGAACCCCCTTCCAACCCCCCCATCCCCCCGCACCAGCGCCCTCCCCTCCCTTCCTCCCTCCCTCCCTCCTCGGAAAGTTTCTGGCAGCGCGGGGGCCGGAGCGCGGAGCCCGCCCGGGTAGCGCCCGCCCCGCGCCGGGAGCGGGCCCCCTGCCCCGGCCCCGGCGCCGCTGCCCGGCTGCTCAGAGCGACGGAATCGGTTATCTGGAAGAAACCTCTGAGATCATCGAGCCCACCCTGTGACCGTACATCACCATGTTCAGCTATACCGTGGCACCGAGTGCCACATCCAGTTTTTCCTTAAACACCTCCAGAGACGGAGATTCCACCACCTCTCTGGGCGGCTCATTCCAATGTCTAATCACCCTCTATGTAAGCAGTCCTACCTAATGTTCAACCTAAAGCTCGTCCCGCTCTGCCCCGTTTTCCCCCCGCCATCCCTGGTGGTGCGGTGTCAGCAGGCTGTGCCCTGGGGTCGCCTTTGCTTTGCACGCCGTGTTTCAGGTCGTCGCTTTCGTCTTTTGTGTGACCGCGTTCGTAATTTGACGGTCTGTTCCGATTACTGGCAGGGGATTGAGAAGGGAGGAGCACCTGGCTCCCGACGGCCCCTCCCCGGCTGCTCCCTCCCTGTGTGTTGGTCCCTGGTGTGTCCCCAGCCCCAGGCACCCTGCTGGTGCCAGTGCCGGGCAAGCTTGGCTTGATGGCCTGTCCGGGATGCTCCTTGTAGGCAGAGCTGGTGGCTTCTGTCTAGTACCAATGCACAGGTGTGTCTCCATCAGTTTCCCATGAAAGAGCAGGATACAAGTCCCTGTCCCTAAACACTTGGCTGGTGGCTTTATACAGAGAGTCCTTTAGGCGTTAAGCCCATGTATGTTGGCTAAGCAAGGTTTCTTCTCTTCTTTGGGGAAAGCCAGTATCATGGGATAAGTATTCCATGGATGCTGTTTTCACAGTATTGTGGTTAAGAGAGCAGTGGGGAGGTAGGGTTGCAATTTGAGATTGTTTGACTGGCATACAGTTGTTAAAGGGGAGCAGTCCTGAGGCCTGAGCAAGGCTTTGTGCAGGTGTGGGTTCCAAATGGAATAATTTGCTTTCAGAAGAGCCATTGAGCACTTTTTCACTGTGATGTGTGCCTGGTGCACAAACCCAGGCTGTGTTTTCAGAGTGTTCTAAGCATACTGTAAGGTTGGATAAAATATACCTGTGAATTACAGGTGATTCCTTTCTGTCAGAATGTTAAAGGGAATAGCCTTCCATTATAGCCAATGGAAACTTTGAAAAAGAAGAGACTGAACGTGGAAAAATGACAACTTTTATTTAAAATTTTGGAAGTGGTTAATGGAATGCTGCTGCTTTAGATTAGTAGAGAAGTCTAGGGATTCTTCTGTAGGATTAAATGGCATTCTTGTGTGTCTTGAAAATTTAAACTCTGAATTAGGAGGTTGTAGTATAAAAGTGATTAATAACTGAAAGGTAGACACTAATTCCAGTGAAGGATTAACTACCCAGAAATGAGCTCTGATTCTGACTAGCTTGCTCTGCAACCTTAGGAATACTAGAGCGTAACTAACTTGAAATATCAAAGCTTTTCCAGGTATTACAGTGCCACTGAGCTCTTCCAATATTTTTGAGTTAAGTGATCCTGGTTGCTTCTTTTTCCTAATTATTAATTTATATATATATATGTAAAACATACATGGGATAGGAGGAAAGTGGTAATAAGGAAAGGAAGCAGTAACAAAACCACCAAAAATGCTAGTTAGATGTCTGTTGCTGTTCTTTGATATAGTAAGCCTAAAATTGCTGCTTGTATGAACAGCATAAAAAACGGCAGCACTTGGATTTACTGTTTCAAGAAAGAAAGAAATTCGGAGTAAGTTAAAGTCAGACATTTTTCCTTTCCATCATCTGAAAGGAAAGCCATCACAGGAATTATATTGCTGCTACAAAGCACCATAAAGAACATGTCTTCAAAATCCCTAATGATATGACAAATGCAAATGGGTAGTAAAGCAAAAGTAAATATGATAAAAAGATAGCTAATGTGTCAGAGCTGGGAATAATCAAAGGGAGACCTTGAGCTGTAAGACAACTAACTGGTAAAAGGAAGTGCAAAGTTTCAGTGCTGTCAGATAGATTGACATATAATATAACATGGCACAAATTCAACTGTACTATATACTCAGAGGCTTTACTTCATGAAGTTTGAAAGTGACTTATTTTTTCTCTTTTTTCTTTATATTAATTTTATGGCATTGGTGAGTTCACTCTTAGTTGCTCTTGTGTAAATTTAGATCATTGGGTGAAAGTAATATGTGAACAATTTAGGAAAATATTAGAAAACAACTAAAGCCATTAATATGAGATAATTTCCTTATGTAAACTCCTAGCTAAAGTATATATTCAGGTTGGAGGATATTTAGCATTAGTTATGAACTTTAAGGGATCCCTAATAAAAGAAATTAGCAAAAGAAATCTAGCAGTGGTGCATATTCATTGTGTGCTGATCACTGGGGGCTTTTGAGCCTCGTGTAAAGGAATTCTTCTTTAGCTGATTGCAGAAACTGTTTCAGTATTTCCAATTTGCAAAGCATTCCTGTATAAAAGAAACATTCTGTCTTCTTGCTTCATGTAGGTAATTTACAATCTCAGGAGGCTGAGGGCAATAAGAACCTTGTAGCTCTGCAGAAATTCCACTGAGAACTTGTCACTTCATGTTTCAAAAAGTTGGCATATGAATTTTATGAAATAGTAAAATGTGTTTTTTACAGAGCTTGGCAAGCTGTTAGATAAAATGCTGGTGGAAAAAGTGGTTGCGTTGCTTAGATCTCTGTGAATGGCTTGTGCATAAAAGCAGTTTTTTGACAAAGTAACAGCTTAGTTTGGCTTTTTCAGCCTAGGGTAGAATATAATTTTGGCATGTTTCTAGTGAGCTGACTGGTTTCTATGAAAGTTAAAAGATTTTTTCTTTTTTAAATAGTCAGATTTGAACAATGTTTGTGTTACATTTTAATGCACTGCATCATTATATTTTTAGAGATTTTGAGCAGCTGCAGCTTCTATTTAGTTCAGTAGTGTTTATATGGTCTGATGAGGTCTGGAGGTACTACTTGTGTTATACATTTAGCTAAATTAGGCACCTGTGTTTACAGAACTTTCATTAGTACCTCTGTAGTCCAGAAAGTGTAGAAAATAGGCATATGTATAACCTGTCCAATCCTTTATTTCATGTACACTAAAACCAGACCAGTGACTTTTATGGGGGAAATCATGATATAAGCTTCATGATTGCAATTCAGTCATCAATATTAGGTTTTTAGCTCTTCATGTAGCTGGAAAATCTGTTACAGTTTTTTTGTTTGTGTACTGCTTCAAAGCATCATGTTGACTTTTGCTAAGTGTTTTTTTCGGACACATTCACATCTGTCTAGTAAAGCAAAGAATGCACCTTTTCCAGTAATGTTTAGGAAAATGCAGTTTTGTTTCATGCCTTACCTCTCCTCATTATGTTCCTTGCTGCTTCTTGGATCACATTGTAAGCTACAATGTTGTGCTTAGTTGTTTAATTTCTTGGATCTCCTCCTCATATGAGAGGCAGGTTTTAGGATGAGTGAGGTTTGGAAATTCTGTTTGCAAGAGTTATTTTTCTTTACTTATTTGCAATGATCAGTCTTTGAATGCAGGCCACTACAGGGTATTTCTTCACCAGGATGTCAGTCCACCCTCAGGTGGATGTTTGCATGAGTCAGCAAGCTGAAAAGACACTACTGATGGTTTGTCAGGAGCGCAAGGAATAGTGGGATGCTTGAGCCAAGTAGAAAATAGGCCACTCTGTTCTTCATTTTGTAGCAGCAACAGCAGATGCAACACTTGCAAAAGCTGCATCTTCATGTGAATAAAACCTTTCTATTTATTGCTGCTTCTGTTTACCTGTAAGCAAAAAATTGAGGTAGTTACTTTTTCTCAGTCTTGGGCTATAAATATTTCTTCTTCAATTCCATATCTGGGTTTGGACAACAAAGATTATTATAAAAATTACCTATATAGCTACCTGGAAAAAAAAAAAAGTCTGTAATTTTAATTTAATCTGTATGTTTCAGAACACCTTTCAAAAAGCAAGTATGTACTTTTTAATCTTGTTACTGAAGGAATGCCAGAAATACGAAGTGATCAGCTTTCCAATTGATGGCTGTAGAAGGGCCAGCATGTGTATCCTGGGCAGCTCCCAGGCTCACTGCCAGCTCAGTAGCTGGCGCTGCTGGGCAGACCCTCCTGCCACTTTATATTTTGGCAACATAAAAGATTTTGCACTGTCCTGGACTTACAATGTATCAGCTAAACCAAGGATGTAGATTTATGTGCGACTGTAGTAGTGTACTTTAGTAGCTTGTCAGATTACTTTACTATTACTGTACCTGTAACTTTTCAAAAGGGAGTTGGTATAAAATAAGTTTCACCTTCGTTGCCAAATACGGAATTCCCTTTTGAAAACTGGACAACAGTGATGCAAGTCTAGAAACATCACTGTGGAATACAGGCGTAGGAAAGGGAAGGCAAATGAAATATTCTTTCCTTTTCTTGACCCTATTTTTCAGTACTCTAAGTTTGTAACTGAAGAGGAGAGTCTGTTTTCTTCGTTGGACTGGCACTGGTGTGCAGCGTCATTAATGTAAGGTTCTTAACTCACAGCTTCCAAGTCCACGTTAAGAGATGAGTGCCCCCTTCCTGGCAGTGTTCAAGGCCAGGTTGGATGGTGCTCTGAGCAATCTGGTCTAATGAAAGGGTTTCCTGCACATGGCAGGAGGCTGGAACTAGATTATTCCAACCCAAACCATTCTATGGTTCTATGAAAGGTAGGAATGGGGAGAGAAAGAAGGATGATGTATAGAACCAAGGCAAGTGTATAATCTTGACACAGAACTTCGGCTTGTGGTTGTGGCTGTGTCAACTTTCCTTTGTTTTAGTTTTTTTTTTTTTATTTGATG